TACTCTTTTCCATTGGTATATGTGTCTGTTTTTATGCCAGTAACATGCTATTTGGGTTACTATAGCTTTGCAGTATATTTTTAAGTCAGGTAGTGTGATGCCTCCAGTTTATTCATTTTGCTCAAGATTGCTTTGGCTATGCAGAGTCTTTTGGGATTCCATATTAATTTTAGGATTATTTTTTCTATTTCTGCAAAGAATGTCATTGGTATTTTGATAGGGATTGCATTGAACCTGTAGATTGCTTTGGGGAGTATGGACATTTTAGCAATATTAATTATTCCAGTCCATGAATATGGGGTATCTTTCCATTTATTTGTGTCCTCTTGATTATTTTTTAATTAACATTTTCTAGTTTTTATTGCAGAGGTATTTCACCTTTTTGTTAAGTGTATTTCTAGGTATTTTAGTATGTTTTATTTTTTGGTAGCTATTGTAAATGAGATTGTTTTCTTGATTTTTTTTAAGGTAGGTTGCTATTGGTGTATAGATATGCTACTAATTTTGTATCCTGTGACTTTACTAAATTTATTTATTAGTTCTAACAATTTTTTGGTAGAGTATTTAAAGTTTTTTATGTTTAATACCATGTCATCCATAAACAGGGACAATTTAACTTTCTTCTTTCCAATTTGGATGCCCTTTATTTCTTACTTTTGCTGAATTCCTCTGGCAGTGATTTCCGGTATTATTTTGATTAAAAGTAATATAACTAGGTATCCTTGTCTTGTTCCAGATTTTTGAAGGATAACTCAAATTTTCCTCATTCAGTATCATGTTATATTTGAGTTTCTTACATGTGGCCTCTATTGTGTTTATTTACATTTCTGCTATACTTAATTTATTGAGGGTTTTTGTCATGAAGTGATGTTGAATTTTATTAAATGCTTTTTTTGCATCTATTGAGATAATCATGTTTCCTCTCCTTCATTCTGTTAATATGGTGTATCACATTTATTGATTTGCATGTGTTGAACCATTTTTATTTATTTATTTATTTTTTATTTTTTATTTTTTTTGGTCTTTTGTCTTTTTCCGTGTCCGGCAACGGATTGCAACCCTCAGT